TACTACACACAAAGTAACATTTTAAAATAATCACTCACAATAGGTAGAGTACTGATTATTAAAATTTTTTCTTTCCATTCTAGAAATTACAGAAGACATCCCCATGAAGACTTTGAACATGAAAACTGTTTATGTTTCTGTATTACCAACAACAGCAGGGTTCTAACACTCATCACTGTGACTCAGTCTCCCTGATTTAGACCCACCCCTGAATACTTACACATATACATACTTGGACACAGTGAAGATATTTCCTTCAGGTGCATTATAATATGCTGATTTTTATCTAAAGTTTAAATAGAACTGATTGATTAAGGACTGGAGACCTCATAGTCATGTTCACATTTCACCATAAACACCTATCTAGTCATACTGAGGGGGAAGTTACAGTGTTACCTCAGCAACACAAACTTTTATTTCTGTACTTGAGTTCTTAAACACAGAAGATAGAAGCAATTTAAGTGTACACATACACACACATACATATATTACATCATTTTATGGCCTTTTAAAACTTACTTGAGACCTCTTGAAGAAATGGACATGTTATATATTTCTCCTACCTGGATTATCCTGGGTTGATGAACTATTTTAAGTTTCGGTAAATCAGAACAATAAACAAACTATCAAATGTAAATATGTTGGAAGTAGTTTATTCTCCCATAGTTAATAAAAGTTCAGATTTTTAAACTTGGAAGAACATAAAAACTTAATAGTGACTTTTGTCTTAAGACAGTGGACTGAACATCTGATATCACTTCCCACAACTCCTGGGTGATAATTTAGCTCCCCAAGCAGATGCCAAGACAAAAAAAGATAATGTAGGGACCAGCAGATGGCATAATCACTAAGTCGCGGGATTCTCATGTAGCTGACTGCGGTTCGAGTCCTGGACCCAGTGGCTTAAACTCATGCCAGGCACATGTGCTTGCATGCCCAAGACCCTCTGAATGACTTCTTCACTACTGAAGAAATTAAGGCTGAAATCAAAAAAATTTATGGAAACAAATGATAATGAGTACACAAGTGTCCAGAATCTATGGGATACAGCAAAAGCAGTCTTAAGAGGGAAATTCATAGCAATTAGTGTGCATAAGAAAAGAATGGAAAGATGAAAATAAGATAACCTATCATCATGCCTCAGGGAATTGGAAAAACAACAGCAAACGAACCCCAAAAATGCCAGGCGAAAAGAAAAGTTCGAGCAGAAATGAAATAGAAAATAAACAAACCATACAGAAAATAAATGAAAGCAAAAGGTGGTTCTTTAAAAAGATTAACAAGATCGACACACCATTGGCTAGGCTGATCAAGAAGAAGAAAGAAAGAAACCAGATTAATCAAGTATGTGATGAAACAGGCAATATTACAACAGACATAGCAGAAATAAAAAATATCATTAGAGGATACTATGAGCGACTGTGCCAACAAACAAGATAACTTGGAGATGGACAAATTCCTGGGTGCATATCATCTACCAAGATTGAATCAGGAGGACATAGAAAACCTGAATAGACCCATAACAAGCCCAGGAGATTGAATCAGTAGTAAATAACCTCCCAACAAAGAAAAGCCCAGGTCAAGATGGCTTCACTTCTGAATTCTACAAAACTTTTTTTTTGGAGAGGTTTTTTTTT